GAGCTGGAGTGGCAGCAGCACCATTTGCAGACATGGCTGAGCGAGGGCTTTTTGAGTGGCGACTTGCCCCTGCCTGCAGGCGCCCCTGCACTGATGTCGAAGGAGCTACCGGCAGAGCTCACATCGGCGCTCCCTCCCAAGCCAGAGCTGAATACTCTCACCTGGTCGAACAAGAAAGCCGACGGTCTTCCCACGCTGAAAACGCCAGAAAAGGTTTTGCTAGCCTGGCATGACCATGCAGTCTTCGGCGCAGAGTTTCAGGCATATCGCGCACCCGCAAGACCATTCCGCCTGGACTTCACCGGCGATGACCCTAGCAGCAGCAGACCTGCAAGCGTGGCCGGTGGCTCTGGGACCCCGGTCAAGCGAGAGTCCGCTGGGGGCGAGTCAGGGCAGCCACCTCGGAAAGTTCTGAAGACCGAGTCGGTGGAAGCCAAGTCAATCCCCTTGGCTGAGCTGCCAAAACCTCTGTGCTGGCAAGCAGCACTGCCATCAGGCGCAGCCAAGAACAAGGGGAATGCCCTGAAGATGGTGATCACCATCGGCAAAAGAATCTTCATAGCCAGCGAAGCAAGCGCCTCTGAAATAACCCTGCCAGCCGGAGCCACAGTGGCCGGCTACTACAAAGGCAAATTTCTTCTGCAGGGCGACCGAAAAGCCGAAGCAGATGGCTTGCAGCTTCGCGCGTCGGACTGCTTGTGCCAGCTTCACGATAGCAATAGCCTCGTCGTCTTTGAAGGTAAAGTCGCCACGGTGGGGCAAGTCGTAGCGCAGAAGCGTGCGCTGACCCCCCTCAGCGTCGTAATCTGCTACCACGACTTGGTAGAGCAGCCGACCCCTGAAGACGCAAAGCATTTCGTGCTTCAGGTGAAGAACCAGGTGCTATTCCGTCCAGAGAACGCACCCGCCCCCGAGGACAAGAAAAGCGCAGGTGGCTGCGTAACTGTGGCACTGACCAGCTTGGCAGGCTGTGTGGAAACATCCTGCTGGGAAACGTCTCGCACGCATCTGCTGTGGGCAGTGAAGTGGTCTGCCCGCGGTTTGCAGCCCGTGCGCCCCATGATAGTCCTCGCCGCCAGCACCACTGTCACAGCAGGGCAAGCGGTTGAGCTTGCCAAGTAGGCATGGCCGCCCCGCTTGCAAGGCCTTTGGCACTGGGTTAGGCGCTCTTTGGGTCTGAGGGAAAAAGCATTGCGTTGTGTCTTTTATGTTGCTTGGTCCAGGGTCCATCGTGTTGAAATACTTCACAAACGTCAATGATTTTGCCTTGAACCCTTTGGCTGTTTGGCTCAAAATCATTATCAGTCTGGTCTGGCTGTCAGGTCATGCCGTCGCCACAGAGTCATGTCAGGGCCCAGCCATTAGCTAGGCGAGTTGTTGTCGCCCCCGGTCAATGTCAAGCTTGTAGTCTTAGTTTTCTGCCCTCTGACGCCCTCGCCATGCCGCCGAAAACACAGACTAGAAACAAAGCAACGTGGGCGCAAATTGCCCTGGGGTGTGAGCCTCGGCCAACGCCGCCCCCTGGCCAAGGCGGCACGCCTGGCGTCAGTGTAATGAGCGGCGGGGAAAGATGCCCAGCCGCCTCCAAGCGGGAAGCCAAAGGCAGCCCAGGAAGCGGCGCCTGCTTCGGCCGCCCCGAAGCAGCCAGCAGCACACGCGCCTGGCGCTGATGCCACCGCAGTGACAAGTCACAGCCAGCCAGCACAGCAGGCGCCCCCTGCGGCTGCTGCTACTGGCCAAACCCAGCCAGCGCAGCAAGCACGCCCCGCTGATGCCACGGGCCAAGCACAGCCACCGCAGCAAGCGCCCCTTGCAGCTGCCGTCACTGGCAAATCCCAGCCAGCACAGCAGGCGCCTCCTGCTGCTGCCACTGGCCAAGCCCAGCCAGCGCAGCAAGCGCCCCCTGCAGCAGCAGCAGCAGCAGCAGCAGCAGCAGCAGCAGCAGCAGCTACCGGCCAATCCCAGCCAGCACAGTCAGCTTCGCAAGGTGCAGCAGCAGCCACCACTCAGCCAGCGCAGGCCGCACTTGCCACTGCCAGCCAGGCAGCGCAAGCAGCACCTGCTACTGGCGACGCGCAAGCGCCAGCGCCAACGACAAGCAGCCCGGATCTGTAGCTGCTGCCGCCGCCCCCAGCGGCTCGTGCGCCGATGCGCCATAGGTTTGCTCCAGTGATTCAGTGCGACATCTGTGGGCAAACTATTAAAGGCGACATGCTGGCGCTGCGCGCGCATCAGACCACCAGCAGCCGGTGCGCTGCCACTTCCAGTGGCCAAGGTCTGGCCCACCGCGTGCGCTGCCCTCATGGCTGCCCAAGAACAATCGCCCGCGATGATGCGTGGGCTTTGCAGCAGCACGAGATGCGCTGCGAAGCACTCCGCGCACGTGAGGCGAACAACCCGCCGAGCTACTGGCGTAGCCAGCGCTCGGGGTCAAATCAAGATCAGCCCAGCCACTGGCAAGGCCAGCGCTGGGAAGATCGCCGTGACTGGCGTGACAATGACGCCGGCTACTGGCAGCAGGAAGGCCAGCGCTGGACGCCCAACAACCGCTGGCAACGCAGCAGGGCCAGGAGCCAGCCCCCAGCTCGCGCAAGCGATATCATCCTCCGCCAAGCAATGAGCTGGGAACTGGAAAGGAGTGGCGCGAAGCTGCTGCGCCGTGGCGCACCACCTCTGATTCGGAGCAGCCCAGCCACTGGGACAGCCAGCGCTGGGACGGCGACGACGGGTGGCAGTCCTGGCAGCCCAGCCACTGGCAAAGCCAGCGCTGGGCCTGGGATGATGCGCCGGACGACTGGCGGCAGTCGAGGTGACCTCGCGCAGCGCAGACTCGCGGAAGAAAAGAGTATGTTCGCCGCTTGCTTGGGGATTGCAACGCTCACATTGTGCTGTATGATTTTCCGCGCGTTGGGTACCATTTGGGGTAGCAGTTGGCGGACTTAGAACACACTAAAAAAAATCGGCATGCACATGTGGTCCAACGCAAGCAAATGATAACAGGGCACTGGCTTCGAACTTCGAAATAGCTCAGGGCTGCAAGCGGGTCCTGTGGGAAACGCCCCCCCCCCAAACCACCATGTACCGATGTGGGATTCAAGCGGAAACGCCTTGCGATGACACCTCCAGAATCTATCCCAATATCTTGTTATCGCGCATTGAAAAGCAGGAAAGTTTGCCGGAAAAAAGTCGATTTTACATTGAAAAAAGTCGATTTGAAAAAATATGCCTTTGTGTGCGCGCAAGCGTGCGTTGCGTCGCGTTGGGACGCATTGCGTGGCGTGGCTTGGCTGTTTGTGTGTGTGTGTGTGAGCGTGGGTGCGTGCGTGCGTGCGTACCTGTGTGCGTGTGTGGGTGAAAGCGCGTGCGCGCATGTCATTTGTGTGTGTGTGTGCGTGTGTGTGTGTGTGTGCGCGTGTGTGTGTGCGCGCGTGTGTGTGTGTGTGTGCGCGGGTGTGTGTGCGTGTGTGTGTGTGTGCGCGCGGGTGTGTGTGTGTGTGTGTGTCTCTCTGTGTGTGTGTGGGTGTGTGTGGGTGTGCGGGTGTGCGGGTGTGTGCGTGCGCGTGCGCGTGCGCGTGCGCGAGTGCGTGTGCGTGTGCGCGTGTGCGTGTGCGTGTGCGTGCGTGTGTGTGTGTGGGTGTGCGTGTGCGTGTGCGTGTGCGTGTGCGTGTGCGTGTGCGTGGGCGTGGGCGTGGGCGTGGGCGTGGGCGCGGGCGCGGGCGCGCGCGTGTGCGTGCGCGTGCGCGTGCGCGTGCGCGTGCGCTTGTGCGCTTGTGCGCTTGTGCGCTTGTGCGCTTGTGCGTGTGCGTGTGCGTGTGCGTGTGCGTGTGCGTGTGCGTGTGCGTGTGCGTGTGCGTGTGCGTGGGCGTGGGCGTGGGCGTGGGCGTGGGCGTGGGCGTGTGCGTGTGGGTGTGGGTGTGGGTGTGGGTGTGGGTGCGTGTGCGTGTGCGTGTGCGTGTGCGTGTGCGTGTGCGTGTGCGTGTGCGTGTGCGTGTGCGTGTGCGTGTGGGTGTGTGTGTGTGTGTGTGTGTGTGTGTGCGCGTGCGTGTGTGTGTGTGGGTGCGTGCGTGCGTGTGGGTGCGTGCGTGCGTGCGTGCGTGCGTGCGTGCGTGTTTCTGTGATGGTGTGCGCGGGCGTGTGCGTGCGCGCGTGCGTGTGCGTGTGCGTTTGTGGGTGTGTGCGTGCGCGTGTGCGTCTGCGTGCGTGCGTGTGCGCGCGTGTGTTCCAAGGTGCTTGGCGCAACACCCCGCATAGTTCTTGCGCGGCCGACACCCTCTAACCACCCTTCTGCGACAAGCCTACACATCCTCGATTTTTCCACGAAACAAGAGGGCAACCCGGAGGTTCAGTCACATCTAGACAACAAACACTTGAGATAGTGATCTCCTCATAGGGGGCCTTCAGCAAGGTGAGTTTTTATGTTTTTAACTTAACGAGCTCGCTGCAGTTTGTGCGCGCGTGTCTCACTCAAACGTGTTGGCTTTCCAACTGTAATCATCCAAACATCGAACAACACCCCGCCCTGTTGCTACCCACACCAGCGGCTGTCTTAGGTTGCAAAGCCACCATCTGTCTCTTTCGGCAAATAGGGTCTTTGATGATGGGCTGAACTGACACGTACGTTTTCTGAGGGGGACAAGCTTTGACGCGCTGCAATTCAAACTTGCACACAGTTCTTGGTGCCTTGAGCGTGTGTCTCAATCGTCTACAGGCCCAGGCCAACGATGGTCGGCAAGTGGATTCAACAAGCAGCTCTCTAACATAATTTTCTTTGATCTAGACACACTGAAGACTGCGTGTGAACTGTCTACCTTCTCTTATGGGGCTGTGCGGAAGTCTCCCAAGGCAGAATTCCCATGAGCAATCAGTCAAGCACAGACCCTGTTAAAAAAACTAAACACCCAGAGCCTACAAATTCATGACCGGCTAGAGAGCCATAGCCGATTTGCGCTTGTGGCAGACACGGCGCGCGTAAGGCAAATCTCGGATTCCAGGGGCCCTGCAAAGGATCCGACGCTGCTCGCATGACCGGAGACCCCGACGGAGCTGGACTGGAAGCCTCGGCACACGCCGCAAACCCCCGACAAGTGGGACACGATTGGTTCAATCGTTATGATGGTATAGCTGCGTTTGGGTGGAATCCTCTTGAAACTCAGCAACGGCCTGTGCAACGAAGGTTACTGCGTGCGGCAAGCGCACAGCTAAGCAGCACACAAGGCAAATTGCCATAGTAAGAGACTTACCAAAGGAGCAGGCGGCAACCTGGGCAGAAGCCTGAAGTGCCGCAAAATGAGTGGAGGCCCAAGCCGCGCAAGCAGAGGGCCCCTCGCGCAAGAAGCACCGGAAAAAAAGGACAGCGAGCAGCCAGGCGTCCCCGGCTGCCACGCGCAGCAACACAACGCTTCGAGGCCGGGTGGCAGGAAGCTTGAACGGCAACCTGCCCAACACCATCACAACAGCTGACCTCGCGACGCGAAGACCAAGCCAAGCAGCAGGAGCTGAGCCTAGAGAAGGAGCGAGTGCAAGAGGAGGCACTCTTAACACAATGCGCCGAAGCGGGATGAAAGCAACACAACTGAATCCACACAAATAATTACCCGCGCGTGCGCCTGAGACTTCTGAACAGCAAGAACCAAAGATCGCATCTTCCGCCAGAACTATCGCAACGAAATTCATTCGGGCAGCATTTCTATGTGTGGAAGGCCTACATGCAATGTGACGCTTGCTGCGCCGCAGAGAAGTAATTGTCATCGAATTTGACAAACATGTGTGATGGGCAGCACTTGCTTGCCAGCCATCTGCTTGAGGCTTGGTCCTATTGGGCAGCTTGTCTGGGTCTTCCATACCAAAATGGTCCAGCAGCTTGTCAAGGCCCTGCAAAATCAACACGCAAATGCAAAGAGCAATCGCCCTGCCAGCGTGTGGCACTTCGCGTTCTGGAAACAAGTAAGGACAACTGGCAAGTCTGAACCCCCCCATGTTTTCCTACCACCGAAATGTACATAAATATACGACCGCTTTGGTCGACACACAGAGGAACAAAATGTCATCGTGGTCTATGCGACTGGGAGGCCAACAAGATGCTCTGCCTGCTCAAGGCCTTCCAGAAGCTGGGCCTGGCAGGGGGCCGGGACCAGTTCGTTCCGGGACGGAAGCTGTGACTTGCCCGGGAAACATGGAAACTGGATGAGTCGGACAAGCTGCGGTTTCTTGCCCTTGCCCGTCCTGGTTCCTGACAACAGGGCGCTGCGGCTCTTACCCGTCCGGCTTTGCGCGGGGGACAGGACGGGTTGGACGGGCTGAGGTTTTTTACCACCCTGATTTGCCTAAGAAACACGACAGGTTGGGCACGCTGCGATTTCTCACCCGTCCTCATTTGCCTGAAGACGTTATAATTTATCTGAAAACATGGCGGGTTTGGGAAGCTGCAACTCTTACCCGTCCTGCTCTGGCCGGGAAGGCGAACTTGGGTTTTTACCCATCACGTTTACCCAAAACAAATTGTCGGGTAGGGCGGCCCCGCGGTAGGGCGAGCTGTGATTTTCTCACGTCCTGGTTTGTGAAACAGGACAAGTTGGCAACCTGCGTGTTTCTTGGCTCCGTCCTGGCTTGCCCGGCAACACGAGCTGCGAGCGCTTTCCTGATTTGGCAGGGAAACAAAACAGGCTGAGTTGGGCAAGGTGCATTTGTTGCGCGTCCTGACTTGTCCGGGACGCCGGGCGGGCTTGGCGAGCCGTCTTACTTTGTACGTGGGGGCAGGTTGGGCGAGCTGTTATTGTTCGGGTTCGACGTGTTGCGGTAGAGGGCCAAAGGCCCTGCCCGCAAGGCTTCCTTCAGGCGCAAGGATCCGCCATGCCGACCATGCGCGGAACACGCAGGCGAAGGAGCAGCTAAATGAAGGGGGAAGAACGGAAATGAAGGGGGGAGCATGAGCGGGAGCGTGAGGAAATGAAACGACAGACGAGTGAAACTATTCGAAGATGAAGAAAAATGAGAGACATGACTGAGACACGAACGAAACAAAGGGGGGGATTGAGGGCAACGCAAGAAAATCCAGCGAAGCGAGATGAAGGAACATGCGCAAATGAAAGGAAGGAAAATGAAGCGGGAATGCTTGGGCATGACAGTGAAAATTGTGGGAGACGAAGGAAAATGATAGGAGAGTGGTCTTGAAATTGCGGAAGAGAAATGGAAGAACATGAAGGAACATGAGAAAACGGGAAAGCAGATGAGAAATAAAATCCGGCCACCTGGGCCTCAAGCCCTGACGAGCCGTGATCGGGCCGAAGGCCTGGCCCGGAGGGCGACCTTCAGGTATACGGCTGTCCGCCCCACGCTGCTGACCATGTGCTGGCAAGGGTTTCGAGCGCAGGGCACAAGGCTGTCGGGCCCACGCCCTGCGGGCCATGCGCCAGCCACGCACATCCGTTTTGGGCTGAGCCACCCCTGCTACACACCTGCAGATTTGTTCAGGAAAGTTTCGTGTCTCCCCACGAAGGCAAACAAACGGCAATTTTTTAAGGGGCGCCGACACTGGACAACACCCCCGACATGGCCAGCGACGCCCACAAATCAATACAAATTTAAACTGGTCAAACAGAGATTTTACACTATGAACATACGCTATATACAAATATTTCACACTACCCCCACTAGCATTTTTCGGGGGCCCCCAGCCATTTGCCATTGAACAGGCAAACCTCACAAGCGTGGGTGAAATGAAAGTCAGGCCTAAAAAACAACTGGCTACCACCTTTGCTGCCACGGAGAAGGTAGCTCGGTCGCTCTTGGCCTCCTGCTTTGCCTGGCTCTGCGCCTTGCAGGAGGCGAGGCGCCACAGCCCTCGCGTTGATTTGGTCGCTGCTCTCGCGGAGGCGCAGCGCTACCAGGCGCGCCACGCGCAAATGTACTCTGACAGCGCCTGCAGACCAAAGGCATCATTTCCGTATGCACTTGGAGCCGCAGTACGCGCTCCATCAAGTCTACGTCGACGTGTTTGCGATAGATACTCCCACTTGCCTCGCCACCGTGATCACCTTATCCGGCCTCGCTCAAGACTTGCCGCCTGCGTGGGAGAGGGTCGTGTCTTCCACAAAGCACTCGTGCAAGACCTGACCGACTCGACGGAATGGGTGGTCAGCGAGGCGTACACTTCGCAAGACAAAGTTTGGCGCTGCTCAGGTGTCGCATGGCCTCTGCCGCGGGCTTGTTTTTGGCAACGCGTGAGCTTGCTGGCAGCTCACCGAAGCCCGCCCTCTTCGTGTAGCGGGGACCCGTTGCATGATGTCTTGCGCGAGAGGAGAAAAGAACAAGGTCTGCGGCGCTTGTTTTGAGCGTTTAATCCCCCTGTCTTGTTCCCTTGAGGGTCAGGACCCCCATTGTGTTGAAATAAAACGGGGCTCTAACCTATTTTCAAAAAATAAACTGGGGGCGCTAACCCTCACAAAAGTTACCGAGTAGGGGGCCCGCGGAAAGAAAAGGTTAGCCCCTTGGCGAAAACAAAATGGGTGGGGAAAGTGGCAAACTGAAATGGCCACGGGGCTAACCCCAAAAAGGCTAGCCCCTTCGGCAAGGCCTGAATCTTCAGGGGCTGGCCTTGCACAGTACTTAATTTTAGCGTTGCCAACTCTATATTTCATATTGCCAAGACCTACTCTCAGACTCCCAGTGCCTAATCTTGCATCGCCAGTTCTAGATCGAGTTTGTCCAAGGCTTTCTCTCAGATTCCAAGTGCAAACTTCTAAGAGTGCTGCTATGTGTTAATCTGAGATTCTCACTATTTTATTTAGTATTGCCACTGTTAGTATAGCCAAGACTTGCTCTCTGATTCCCAGCGCTTAAGAAAATATAGTCAAGACTCATGCGGGGTATGATTCGCAGGTATGATTCGCGGGTATGATTCGGGGTATGATTCGGGGGTATGATTCGCGGAAGCAGCAGCAGCAGCAGTAGTAGTAGCAGTAGTCGCCGAAGTAGTAGTAGTAGTAGTAGTAGTAATTTTGTAGTAGTAACAATAGTAGTAGTAGTAGTAGTAGTAGTAGTAGTAGTAGTAATTTTGTAGTAGTAACAATAGTAGTAGTAGTAGTAGTAGTAGTAGTAGTAGTAGTAGTAGTAATAGTAGTAGTAGTAGTGTGGAGTGTCTAGAGAATCATGGTGGTCATTTGAGGGCCTTGGGGAAAATGTTTTTCTCCATCGAGGAGGTGGAAGTTCGTTGTGTCCACAACATGATGGTCGTGGATACAACAAAGCGAATGGCGCAATTTGTTCATATGGGTTTGTATTTTTTATGGCTTGGGGGCTTATTCTGCTGGCCCATGGTTTGTGCCCTTAAGCAACCCCGATTACAAAAGCGGGTCCCGCATTAGTGGTAATGGCAATAGGGAATCTTGGGTTTTGGAAGAGGGTGACAAACTGTACATGTACCTTGTCTCAGCGACCTTAGATTCCCACAGTTCAGTCCTGCGAATACTAAATTAAGTATTGCCACCACGAAGTCTGATTCCAATACTAAACTCACAGAAGCCAATCAGAACTGATTTTTTAGATCCCGAAAATGCCAAGATATACCTGCTTTAGTAATTCCAATACTTGATCCTAAATTCTCAAAACTCAAAACTAAATTCAGCGCTGCCAATACTAAACTTACTACTGACAATACTGAATCTTAGGTTCACAATTCTAAATTCAGTATTGGCACGGCTAAACTTGTCCTTACCAATACTGAACCTTGCCCATACGCAATCTCTAACCCCTATGTTCGCCTAGGTTGCCAAGAAAATGTGGGGTCACTATAACGAAGTACAAGCAAAATATAACATGATTCGCTTGCCCGAAAATACAATGACTCCCTTGTTCGAAAATAGAATGGTGGGACCTGGCCCCCAAACACAGAAGTCTGTGCTAAACTTTTTTGGGCTTGGGCTAGCCTCAGAATCTGCCTATCTCAAGCGCAAATGAAAAGGAGTCGACACAAAATAAAAGGTGCCACGAGAAAAACGCGGAACACTCACTATATATACGCATCCCCCTGCCGCGCTTGTACTTTAACGGTGGGTTACCGCCCTAAAAACTTGAATATTTTCAGTGGCTGGTTTTCAGCTGGATAGGTTAGCGCCCTCATGGTGGTCTGCGTCCACAAGTCAACTTGAATCGGCACTCTGTTTTTCTTGACAAACCCTCCTTACAAGTTTGCTCAAGATAACTTTTCCACAAGTTCTTGAAGCCCCCTATGTAAGTGTCCCCCATGTTCCGGAGCCCAACTTGCACCATCTGCGCCGCCTGCACCGCCTGCGCCGTCTGCGTCACCAACGGCGCCAAACCCCTGCTTACACAGCACAAGCACAGGCAACTGTAGAGGCCAACGGGTCTTGCGGAGCAAAAACCGGCATAACATTCCCCGGCGCCCACAGCCGGCACGTCTACGCTGCAGCGGCTCCAAGATTGGATGGGCGGCCTACTTGCTATGTAGTTGGCGAACTTCAGCGACTTGCTAAGCACTTGCAAATTGCTTAACTTGAGTTAGCAAGTCCGCTATGTCTGACTTAGCGGACTTAGCGCCGTCCCTGCTATTTGGCAAAGGATTTGTGTGACACTCGACGAACTTTTGAGCATCTCCTTACAGAGGGTTGGGCGATGCGAGAAGAAGGGGTTAGGAATCCAAGTGAGACAGAGATGGGAGGGATGGGCTGCCTGGATAGCTATACCGCGGACCTTGTCAAAAGCAAAAGGCTTTCTGGAGGGCTCCGGAAAAAAGGGTGTTCTTCGAAGGGTTCCTTGAAGCTGTGGCACAAACTCAACAAGTATCAAAACGCTTCCACAGAACCGATAGTCGAAGTTAACGAAGCATTGACATGACGTTGAGGTTTCCCCTCAGAAGCCGGTCAACTTCCCAATCAAATCCGTCTGAAAATAAACAAGAAAAAAAACAAAACCCCGGTCAAATTCCACAAGGTCAGATCCACGTAGATGGTCTAGAAGCCGGTCAAAATCGGTCAAAACCCAAGCCTCAACGCAGGCCCGGCCGGGTGGGTTAGCAGCCGCACCACGTTGCCAATTCTTGCTTGCTAAGTGATAGGAGACACAAACCACTTGCTTCTGTTTCTGGCGCCCTGGCGCGCCGGCCTGGCTTGTTGCTCGCAAACGACTTGCGCCAGCAGACCTTGCCTGATTTCAACAAATGCACACTGCGTGTCTTCTTTTTTGATTCTAGATGTTTCGCGCGCCTTCCCTGGCCATCTACGGCCACGTTGGGATCAGCAGCGGCTTCCGCCTCCCTGGGCGGCTGCCCCCGGCACGCATTGCGGCGCTGTTTGCATCAGCCCCCTCCGCATCACCGCAATGTTGACCTCGTCACTATGTTGCTGATCACCTCCTCCGCGTTATGGAATCACTGCGTCGTGCTTATGCCTGTGCTGGCAGCAATGCTGTTCAGCCCTTTGGCATCCACACTGCTGCTGTGGAAGGGCTGCTGCAAGCAAGCACAAACAACTCCGCTGCGTGTCATTTAATCCAGCCCCACCCCCTCATCAAAGCATTGCCCCTATTCTGGACTCACTGAGGATGACATAACCCAAGCCGGAGCCACCGCTTCATCCTGATTGTCAAGGAGAGATACAAGGACCTGCGCGGGACGGCCGGGCAGCTGACTTCAATCTTTGGCGCATCACGCAGCAGGACATCAGTGCTTCAAGCGCCGGTTGAAGTGGTTCTGGGACAATGGCAACAAACACCATGACAAAGGGGCATGGAAGGGCAACATGAAACATTGTCTTCGCGCAGTGGCGACTGCTTCTACAGATGTGGTTAGTTCAGTTTCTAAACCAACATGCGTGATCAAGACGGCTTGCCTTGCGTGTGATGTCCGAGTCAAGTAGTTGAGAAAGGAGAAGCATTTCTCATATATAGTTCTCATCAACCCCGGCAAGATGAACAAAAAATGTGGAGCCTCAGTTAGATTTGACCTTGCCCATCGTTTGCCGTATCAAGGGCCCCAGAAAACATTCTTTTCAAAAGGGATTACAATGTCAGAGCAGTAAAATGGCGAAGGTGGCAAATTGCGCAATATGTTTGAGGAAATATGACCGATGGGAAACATGGGCGGGGCTAGATTTATTCAATTCAATGTGTTGTTGTTTCTGTTTGGCTTTATAACATCATCCGAACATTTCCTTCCACAACGTCCATATGAATATATCTTAACCTATCTTCAAACAATATGCAATTTTCGGATGAAACTGTTACAACAAATGTATAACTGGATAACGGTATTTTCTAAATGTGTAGTTTTACCAAAGACCTCATCACCAGAATTTGTGAGATATGCCAGTAAAAAGTAAGAGTTCTCGAATATGGCATTTACAAAACAATTAATTACACAAAGGTTGTTCTTGGCAAAATACAACTATACCTTTGTTTTACTTCTGCTGTGTCAAATATTTTTAAACATAAGATCATACTTTTTAGTCTTCCTATCGTTAAAATCTGGAAAAATATGTTTCATCCGTCGGTTTCCCAGCAACTTACTTTCGCTACAGCCTTCGCAATCTGGGTAGTACTCACTAATTGCATTACATTTTTAGCAGATAGTTGATCTATTCATGTTAATTTGAAATCGAAAGTGGTTATACAAAATTTACAACTGTCTTGATTGAGCAGCATTGTCCTGTTATCATAAATAGGTAACATTTCTTTAAATACTTTTTACAAGCAAATTTCAAGTATTTACCAATAAACATACTTACCGCCTTCCTTAAACAACTTATAATGTTCTAGCGTTGCTTCTTTTGTACTTTTGATTTGCCCCTTATTTTACACAGCAGTGGTTTTTCACGCTTGGTATCATAAACACTGCTAGGTCTGCCTATCCCTTTCTTTTCAAGAATCTTAACACAAGAGCATTCACAACAGTCTTTATTTCTTTCTGCTGTCTTTCTTTACCATCTCTTTACACATAGGACAAGCAAACTCAATAACTGCTGCTTATTCCCTGTTTTTCCCCACGTATACTATTATTGACTTTTTGGATAATTGTGTTCGTAATCTAGATAATTCAAATGAAGAACAGCAACACTTCTCAATTTTACTCTCAGTTGTTACAACTTTTTCCACTTTCTCTACTTCATCTATTGTATCAACATACTCTGAATAACTTCTATTTATAATTAATCTTGTTATTTAGCACACGCGGGCTTCAAACTAATTATCTTCGATGCTTCTGATTGAAGCAATGGAAAGCCTGTTCCATTTTTACTGTACTCACCATCAGAAAATCATAACAAACGAGGCTCCGTTCAATCATAGTTCTAAATTATATTCTACTTATCATTAATAGCTTATGTCAAAAATTCCAATGATAAAGCCAAAAAACATAGCTGATTATGAGTTCAAGCGATCTGAATACGAGCGCGTGCCAAACTTACCATTTAGAAGTATTATAGTTGCTTCTTCAACAGGTGATAAGACTGCCCTTATTCCAAATTTAATACTGGCTGCTTATAGAAATTCACTTGCAAGACGACTTACACTCTCACCCGGTGTTCAAAATGACCCTACATTTACAGAAGTTAAAAAGTATGTTCGGGAGGAACTACACGTGGACGATGAAAAAACAGATTCATGTTGACAATTATAATCCAAGTGGCTTAAACTAGTTTTATCAAATGTAAAAAGATAAAGCAACTACATTCAGTATTAACTGTCAATGACGATTTTAGTGATGACGCCAAGTTTTTAGGATATTCTAAAATACTACACGGCTTATTCACCAGAGGTTGGCGCGACGCAATCAAAGCTATTTGGTCTTTACAAAAAATGTAAATCAATGAGAGAACTAAGAAAATTGCAGACCTAATGGGTTTTACTGAAGAAAACGCAGCGATAGTGGATGAAGACAAGCTGGTAGACATGTATCATACGGCAAAAAAATATCCTCATTCATTCTTTGATGTTAAATTGAACTCTAAAGATGCCAAACACATGGTCTAGGTTAATTTTCAACAACGATTTACGGTTAAAGAATGATCTATTATAGTACTTAAAAGAACATTTATAATGCCTAGAAAAGAAATTGATGATTCAAATCCTCATTTCTATAAAACAATATGTAAGGATTTGAGCATCAAAGGCTGCTATGTTGGACACACTACAAACTCCACAAACAACAAGTCTGCGCATCCAGCAAGTCATTTTAGTTCAGTATGTAAAGAATAAAATATCTTTATAGGTTTGTTAGTGAAAACGGAGGATGGGACAACTGGGATATGCTTTTAGTTGAGATTGTCCAAATGCGTTAGAAGCAAGTAAGAAAGAAAGAGAATAAACTCAACGACTGAACGCAACATTGAACTGCAAACAAACCAGTCAGGACAGAAGAAGACTTAAAGCAATCCAAGAAAGAATGGGCAGAGAAAAACAAGGAGCGTGTAAAACAAACAGAGCACGAATGGTACGAAGCAAATAAAGAGCATCACCTCTCATCAGCTCGGGCGAGACGTGCTACACAGAAGGCGCAACCGCAACCAGAAGACGAAGAAATTACTGAAAATTAAGAATATTTACATTTGATAATATTATTATCTTAAGTTCATGAAGCATTGCAAAATTGTGAGGCAGGAAGTTTGTATAATGAATGTTCAGATTTTCTAATCATTTTCTATTCACGCCACGCATTCTTGAACAAACTATAATGTTAAAGTATATGCTCTTGTTTTTCATCTACTCTTAAATTCCTAATGTCTTCCATACTGTAAACTGCTTCATCAGGTTTTCAAAGAAAATGTCAACATTATCTAGACTGTACTTGTTAAATATCATTTGTGTTTTTCTTCTTCTTCGTTTTCTGCATCCGTAGGAACCGGTATTTCATCTGGACTTTCTGGGGGAGCATGACGAACCTTGAAGGCTTCATTAGAACCAGAACTGCTGCTACTACTACCACTACTGCTACTTTGTGCATTTCCTGCCGCTTTCTCGTTGAATTCATCTGCAATTTTTAAAAGTTGTTGCAATTGCGCAATATGATAAACTTAGTGTTATATTTGCTACTGTAGTGCCGTTGTGTAGCAGTATTTCTATTGTTTTTGCAAGATTGAACTTTTCTTCTTCTTCGCCGCGTTTCTTTGGCGGTGGTTCTGGCGGTTTGTTACTGTCAAGCATTGTAGTGAAGGCTGACACCGTTGCATCACCTTAGCTTTTCAGTGTGTTGCCTGTGTTCTTGTTGGCTTATTTCTTTTGCGTGTCTTGCCCCGAAGCATTATTTTGAATAAATCGTCTTGGTTTTCCTTTACCTTAAATGCTTGATATGTCGTATTCAATCGTTGTCTTGCATCATTGTATACCTTTTCTTGTCTCTCTCTGGTTTCGGTAGCAATACTAGTTGTGTTGGTTGGTTGGTATGCCACTTTCATTATTTTCAGTGGCGGTCTTGTTGGTGGCGGTGGTGTGTTTGGTTTCATTAGGTTGCGCATTGTACGTACTTCTGGCGTTCACCCGCAAAAGAGTTCTTCTAGTCTACCTCTGCTTGCGCTTGCTACCCAACCACTGTTCTCAATGGAGTCTAAAATCATATGTATTGAATATTCTTTGTATGTTCTTGCCTTGCCTCTGCCCTTGTGTTTCAATTCTTCCTGTGTTTCGCATTCTTCTGGCACTTTGGTTCGGGTTGTCTCTCCAGTGTCCAGGACCAATCTTATTTTCCAGTGTTGGTGTGAATCATGGCATTCTCGGTAGTGGCGGTGGTTCTTGTGCTGTTGAACTTGGTGCTCCTGTGGCTTGCTGAACTGTTTCTCCACCAAAATCCGAAATTCAATGCTTGTTTGCTTCGTTCGAAAGGCCAGGATGAAAGGGAGGCAGTTCTCTATCTTTTTCTTTCATTCTCATCTTTTATGTGTTTCTTTTATTCTCTATATCTTTCTTTTCCTTTCTTTATTAGGTTTGACGAGATGATCCGCTCTCTCGCCAGGTGTGTTCAGGACCTTTCCCATGGTGTTGCACAAAACTGCCATCTACTGCTTGAGGTGAAATCTTCTATTGGCATTGTTGGTCGTCTGCTGCTGCTCTACCTGCTGGCGCCTGTCGTGGTTCGGTTGGCGCTGATGGTCGGTTTGCTAACATGCTATGAAATAATTGTCCGCCCATATCTCTTAAGTTTGAAGCCATTGCTCTGCCTACTTCCTCCGCTCTGGCAGTTGCTATATCTTGTCATTGTGTATCTCGCGCTGTCTTGCTGTTTGTAGCGGTGTTGAAATTTCATTAATCTGCTATTGCTTTGTCATTTCCATGTAGAGGCGTGTCGGTGCTGTTTCACCATTAGTTCTCTAATGCGCCTGTCAAATATTCTCATTTCCTGGTCTTTCAATAAGTCTGAACGGTCGCTTCCATCAAAAAACTACCGAGGACTTGTTTAAAAAACGTAGCATCTCTGTTGTGTAGTTTTCCTGTTAATGATTGATTCTTGCGTGTTAGTCCCACATTTTTCAGAAGTGGGGCGCCTCATCAGTCCAAATTTTGAGTATGGGTTTTATCAGTTCTAAACTTGCTGTAGTTGCAAAAATTCTTATAATAATAAGTTTCTAGTGTTGGGAACATTAAATGTTGTTAACAGTAAAACTTTATTTCATAAAG